GAAGATCCAACAGCAGTGTGGTCCCCTTACTCAGAAGCTTAGGAAAGTCTTCCCACAATGAAAGCATTCAGAACTCCCAATTCCATAATAAGACCTTTGGCTTTTTCTTGGCAAAACCAAGGTCTATTGAGATGGTCATCTAAGAGGTAAGAGTCATGTGCCTCCAAGGGTGAATTCAAACCTCCATCTCTACCGACGAGAAGATGTTGTCATGCTGCAAAGATCAGTCTTACTCCTAATTCTCGCCACCAATCTTTAATCAATGGTCATCCCCAGACTTAGCTAGAGCATCTCTTCATACTCATCAAAGGTAAAAATGGTGATACAGAATATGCTCCTGGATGTTTCCAAGGCCAGAAAAACAAAGCCAGTCTTGTTTATGGTCACAAGAGGTGAGAGAAGCAGGATCTCCTCCTTTTTAGCAGGTGACAAACGCATCAGCCAAAAGCTAAATGACCTAGTTAATTAACCCAGGGAGAGACTAAGATGAAACAGAACTTTCCACATGTTCATTTTTGCCACTATTGCAAAAATGCAGTTTTTCTCTGGTCACCTGGTGCCTCTCACCTCCCCAGGCCCTGAGCTCTCACGTGCTCCTCTTCCTGCTTGTGTCTGCCCCCAGTGCCCAACTCCGTGTCATACACAGTGGGTCCCGGGATACCTGCCATGCACTGACATAGCCAGATCCTCTGGGCCAGGGAGTGTCAAGGACATTTGCAACCTAGGCAAGATTGGAGGAAGCAGGTTGGGAAGAAAGGGGAAGCAGCAAGACTGCACAGTTGACCTTAAGAAAAGCTTTTCCAAGATCTGATATTTTGTGATTCTGAAAAAAATAATAATAACAAAAACACACTGTTTCTATGTCTTGCCCTTCGTTCAGTTCTCCTTGGCTGAAAATTCTCTTGCCTCCCACCTTCTCTCTTAAAACCCAGCCACCCTTCGAGGCCAGTGGGATCTATTGGACTCAGATTTCCTTGGGGACATCAGGCAGTCTGTGTGTTCCCCACAGCAGCTGGTGCAGTGGCTAGAGGTCGGCCTGATGGTAATGAAAACATATTTTGAAGTCAGAGAGATCTAAGCCTGCCAGAGAGATCACAGCTCTACCACTTGTGAGGTTTGGCATATTAGCAAGTGAGGTGCCCACAGTGCAAAATTTAAGGCAGCCCGCTCCCTCCAGTGCCAACTCAATACTTGCATGACCCCAAGAGTGGGTGCTGCCTTAAATTTTGTGCCCTGGGTACCTCACTCACAGTCTTGTTACTTAGTGCCTCAGTTTCCTCACAGTAAAAATAGGGCTAATAACTGTTTCCTCATGGGCATGTTTTGTGGATTCAGTGCAGTGAAGTGTGCAAACCGAAAAGTGGCACACACATTTTTTATTATTTAAAATTAATTTATCGGCCGAACACAGTAGCCCATGCCTGTAATCCAAGCACTTTGGGCGGCCAAGGTGGGTGGATCAATTGAGGTTAAGAGTTTGAGACCAGCCGGGCGCGGTGGCTCACGCCTGTAATCCCAGCACTTTGAGAGGCCGAGGCGGGCAGATCACGAGGTCAGGAGATCGAGACCATCCTGGCTAACACGGTGAAACCCCGTCTCTACTAAAAATACAAACAATTAGCCGGG